CCCTGTCTCTACTAAAAATACAAAAATTAGCTGAGCATGGTGGTACACGCCTGTAGTCCCAGCTCCTTGGGAGGCTGACGCAGGAAATCGCTTGAACCTGGGAGGCGGAGGTTGCAGTGAGCCGAGATCAGGCCACTGTACTCCAGCCTGGTGACACAGCAAGACTCCATCTTAAAAAAAGAAAAAAATAATAATCTTGGCAGCCACCATTTACCAAGCACCATGGCAAAGCCTGGTAGCTATCCCTTAATATCAGCTTTTCTTTCTTATACAGTCACACAACTGTTTTTGAAATAGGGTCTTGCTCTGTCACCCAGGCTGGAGGGCAGTTGTGCAATCATAGCTCACTGCAGCCCCCAACTCCTGGGCTCAAGAAATCCTCCCTCCTCAGCCTCCTGAGTAGCTGGGACCACAGGTGTATTCCACCACACTTGGCTAATTTTTGTTTTATTTATTTTTGAGATGGAGTTTTGCTCTTGTTGCCCAGGCTAGAATGCAATGGTGCAATTTCGGCTCACTGCAACCTCTGCCTCTGGAGTTCAAGCGATTCTCCTGCCTCAGCCTCCCAAGTAGCTGGGATTACAGGTGTGTAACACCACACCTGGCTAATTCAGTAGAGATGAATTTTCACCATGTTGATCAGGCTGGCCTCGAACTCCTGACCTCAGGTGATCCACCCACTTCAGTCTCCCAGGCGTGCACCACCATGCCTGGCCGAACAGTGGTATTTTTGTATTTTTAGTAGAAACGAGGTCTTGGCATGTTGCCCAGGCTGGTCTGGAAACTCCTGGGTTCACGTGATCCTCCCACTTGGGCTTCCGAAAGTGCTGGGATTACAGGCATGAGCCACTGTGCCCGCCCAGGAGTAACGTTTAGCTGGGCACACAGTTGCTCTTCTATGGACTATATTTACCAGTACCCTTATAGCCTTGTTGCCACGTGACTAGGCTCTTGACAAACAGGGTATGAAATGTGATTTTGGAAAGCTGATGTGGTTGAAAGCCATTTTGCACCAGGAAGGAAAGGGCAACGGCCTAGAGTTGGGACAGCAACAAGACAGAAGAAACCTGTGTCCCTGACACAACTACCGGGTGCCACATCATCCCTGGTGGCTTCTGCCTGGACTGCAGATGAGGGAAGAATAAATGCTATCTTGTTTCAGCCATAATTAACTTGGGACTCTTTATTACAGCACCTGAACCTGTATTCTACAAATCTAAGTGCTCACCATGTGAGGGGCATTGCTAGAGATCATTACATAGAGTAACTCACTGAAAGCTGAAAACAGGCTGGGCACGGTTGCTCACACCTATAATCCCAATACTTTGGGAGGCCAAGGAGATCAGGAGTTTGAGACCAGCCTGGCCAACATGGTCTCTATTTAAAAAACAAAAAATGAGCTGGGCATGGTGGTGGGGACCTATAATCCCAGCTACTCAGAAGGCTGAGGCAGAAGAATTGCTTGAACCTGGGAGGCAGAGGTTGCAGTGAGCC